GCACAAAAGATAACATATTTAATCAGAGTAAACATTAGATCTAAAATTTGTATGTCTAATGCAAAATCTATGATGTATATATTCAAAATGATCATCAAATTGTAAGAATTCCAGCAATGTAAATTATATTCTGGCCGGGTAATTTGTATGAATTTTATGAGCTAAACAAATATCTTCAGTTTATAAAAAAAAAAAAATATTCTTCAGAGGGTAACAGATGGTCGGTCGGTCCCTCCCTCCCCCCCACCCCCCACCAACCGTCCCAAGGAGATGTGTGGGAAAACCAGAATATTTACCTTTTTTGTATTAAATAATACCTCAAACTAAAGTTAGGATAATATAATTGACATTGCTGGATTCCTTGTAAGCCCAGGAATATTTTGAATACAAATGTCATATATTTTGCACAAAAGATAACATATTTACTCAGAATAAACTTTATATCTAAAATTTGTATGTCTAATGCAAAATCTATGATGTTTATATTCAAAATGATCATCAAATTGTAAGAATTCCAGCAATGTAAATTATATTCTGGCTGGGTAATTTGTATGAATTTTATGAGCTAAAACAGGCAGTCAGGCAGGGTGGCGGGTGGGGGGGTGGGGCGAATCTAAAAATAGCTCTCGAGCCGGACACTCACCGCGTATACTGGCGTATACTGGAAAAAACCCGCGTTAAGTGAAAGTTCAGCTCTGGCGAGGCACCGCGTATACGGTAAAACGCGCTATGAAAAACCAAGAAGTGAGTAATACCTTCGTACCTAAAATTCAGTGGTTTTTCCCCAAACATTTCTCAGAGAGGGAAGAGCTAGGAGGTGAGAAGAGTGGAGGGAAGGTTCATTATTTGAATGGACATTAACTTGGCGACTGTATTTCTATTTCTCTTAAGAGACATCAGTGCATGTACCATCATAAAATTAAGATGTTATTTTTACTAGAACATAGGTATTGTGTCGGAAAAAGTGGAGTTTGGGGGTCAGCCCGGTCTCTATTTCATTTAATCCCATATGTTATGTTGTTCACTTTACGCGTTTCTCGCTTTACGCGGGCCTCCGTGGGTTCAATTGACCGCGTAAAGTGAGGGTTCACTGTATTATGTTAAAACAAACATTGATAAATCAACACAGCTAAAATTGTTGAAATGGTCTGTTTACTAGCGATCAGCTGATGGGAAGAAGGGGGGGGGGGGTGAGGTGATATGTTTGACAGTTGATGTCAAGGTCTAGTGCTTATTTATTGATCTGTCCTTAAGAGTGACTAAGTTTTTCTCTTAAAACATGTCACTGAACTGAAATGTTCTAATTAATTTTATTACAAAGGGCTAAAATCTTTATCTCTTGTGCAAAATATATGCCGTTTATATTCAAATTATTCGCTGCCTTCCAAGGATTCTAGCAATGCAAAATATATTCTCCTAACTTTAGACTGTGATATTATATAAGATAAAAGCTTTAAGTTTATAACCACCCAACCCTGGCTGGGAAGAGGGTGGGGGGGGGGTGACAGTAACACGTTTGACAGTTGGGGCCGAAGGTCTAGTGAAGTATTTATTTGTTTATTTATGTCCTTTAGCTTGAATTTTTGTTTTTTGTTTATAAAATGTCACAAAAGTGACCGGGGAGAATATAATTTACATTGCTGAAATTCTTATAAGATATTGATTAATTTGAACATAAACATGCTATAGTTTGCACAAGACAAATATTTTAGTAATCATTTAGTCCATTATTTTGAGTACATGTACAGTACAGCTTTGCCCTTAGCACAGTGTAGCATGTCCAGAGAAACATTAGGTGTGAATTTTAAAATATGATGCACCAGATTGACTCGCGCAAAATAGGAAAGATTCGCTTTAAATTAAAACATTGTCCTTAATTGTGGGTGTTGCTTTAAATCAATAATCTTAAATTGAATTGCTTTAAATCGACGTTCTACTGCATATGAAGGGTACATGTACTAACAAGCACAGAGTATTACAGTAATGTATCCGTACTAATTAATGAAAAACAAACATTATAATATCATGAATGAGTCCGTATTTTAGACAAACAGTGAGGGGACCCTTTGGTGGAGGGGGGTGGCGCGGTCACTTTTACCCCCCACAGCAAAAGGAGGAGAGATTAACGCTTATACAATGTCACAGACTTGACTTACGAGAATATAATTTGCATTGCTGGAATTATTGTAAGATAGCGATTAATTTGAGTATAAACATCCCTTATTTTGCACCATACATAATAATTTTAGTAATTCACTTAGTACATTTGAGTACAGGTTGTGATAATTTACATTGTTGCAGTTTCAAAGCTTCGTGACATCACTAATGTATAATGTGTCTCCATAGGCCCTGGTTTATTCACTGATCAGTTGTCTAAGTGCAAATGTAGCCCTGTCGAGCTATCATGTATCAATTAATTTTAAAATAGAAATTATAATGTAAAATGTGATAAGAAAATGGTTTAGTAGTGTTGTGTAAGTGTCTTAGCATGTCACCTCACCACCTGACTCCTGAACAAACTCTTCATCACCTTCTTCAAATCCTACAATGTGCTTGGCAAAAAAAAAAAAAAACACACACACACACACATGGGAATTAAGACAACAAACATCCAGTGACTGCATGGAGGTGAATTAAAAGATCAGCTGTTGAGGAGCTTGTCGCTTGGCAACACTGGTGCTTGTTACACTCCTCTCAACCCTACCTCTCTAATCACTCACACCTTTCTGCTTTCTCACTCCATATTTTAAAATGTTATGTAATGTAATGTTGAAGGGACACAACTTTGTTCATTTATACTTATACTTATCACAATCTCCCTAAAAATACTTTAGGTTTTGTGTTTATTCAAAACACCTTCAGGTCATGAGACCCACTAAGCCCCCACCCAAGAAAGGGTGACCTGACATTCCATCAGAAGGTCAGTAATATGAGACCACTAATACCTCACACTACCTCCACCTGATATTGAGTCAGGTCAGGTCCCCCCAAAAATACTTTAACTCTCATCTTTATTTAAGATATTTTCAGAAAATTCTCTCGATCTTCAACCTTGGAAAATTTGTTCCTGAAGCCATAAATTTTTTGAAAATTCCCGCTTGGGGAATGATCTTCCGAGCAAATTTAAATTCTGGCCACTGGAGTGTTCCGGGTTTGAAGGATTCCGGCTAACAGAGATATTACTGTAGTAGAATAACATATTGTGCATGGCTGAACATATAGATCTTCTTTATATCTGGCTTTCATTATTTGCTGAGTTATCTATATAAATATTTGGAGGAAAATATGGTAAGTTAGGAAAAAATTCATGCACTCAAAACAAAAGCAATATTCAGAAATATTTATAAATCACATTCAAGAGGAGTAAATTACCTATAGTTCACATGAATTTCAACATCATCTAGCAGGTTATGGAGAAATAGGATTTTGAAAATTGATAATAATATAAGAGAAAAATTTGGTATCAGGGACTAGGGAGAACTGATTCAGAGGTATACCAACAATATATCTGGTGTCCATAATTGCTGACAGGAAACTGATATTGATTGATCAATTCTAAACGAATTTCATGCTTCAGCCTGACGCTCCCCTTAAGCTGGTTACCCAAAGTCATTCTAGAGTAAAGGGCTGGCGAGTACAGTACAATATAGCAATTTTAACATATGTTAAATGGCATCGCTTGTGCGGATGTGTACCAGTATGATATTCCCGCTCAAAATGAGACACCACAGTACACTGGGTGTGGGACCAACTTAAAACACTCACAGCAGTTTAGCAAACATCCCAGTTAATGAGAAAACTCAAGTCTGTTATTTTAGAAGAACTTTGTACAGCCTGAGGGAAAAAGATATCAGGTATGATTCTGGATAGTAAACTGTACAGCATTTAGGAATAAAATTTGGCTACATGAGTTTTGTTATCTTCTTGTAGCCTGGTCAGACTTACAGTACATCCAACCTTGTAAAGTATATAATATGTTGTCCAGGTAAACTACACACACTATCTCAGTGTGTGAGGCAACCCCCAGTTTGTACTAAGTTGTATGAATGACAGCAATCAGATCAGAGTATTTTCATTACTTTGCTAATGAACTCTTGACTTATGTGTGTCCTCAACAGTCATTTTGGATAAATTCATCATCAATGGTTTATAACCATTTTCCAAGCTGCAATAATTACCCGATGGCAACTCTTTAAGCTGCATCATCTCCACAGCTTCTTTTGTCAGGTCCTTATCTCTGATGTCATTTCCTCCAACCTCTCCTCATGTTTCTCTTGGCCTACCCCCTGACTTTTCTCCACATCACATTTAGATATAGTGTATGCACTTCTTGACCTACATTCTCTCCACAAGCTTGAATCATCTCAGTCTACCTCTACACACAACTTTGCCAACAATGGCAATACCCAGCTGCCCTCTTAGCTTTGAACAAGGTTTCATATCTTTCAGTATCACATTACACAGACACTTCACTCCAGTCTGTGTATGACACCATCTTTAACTGCTCATGTTTCACTGTCATACAACATGACACTTCTCATACCAGCTGCATACATCTTTCCTTTCATGAGGAGGGAAGGTCCTCTTGCTGTAAATAATGGCAGCAGTTCCCTAAACTTCATCCAGCTGGCTTCAGCAGTGATCATGTCACCCAGGTAACAGAATTCATCAGCACATCCAGGGTTATATCCCTAGAGTTGAGTTTCCACAGGACTGTTGAGGCCACATGGGCATACTTAAGTCTTGAGTACTGTACCTCGCTCCAGCCAGTGGATAAGGTGTGGTTACCAACTCAAGGGATCATAACTAAAAACAGTTTTACATAATTCATGGGGAGGATAAACATGGTGTTAAGGACCTCTGGAAAGAGTTTCACATCAAGGGTGCTGTTGTTTGAAAATTGTACTGGTGGCAAGTGAGGTTACTGGTGCTACTGACTGAGGTATGAGACACTCACACTTATTCCAACTCAAATATTTATTCAAGCAGATGATTCTCACCTGTAAAGGATGGCAGGCCATTAATGGTCCACTCAGTTCTGCTCCATGGATAACAAGTTTTGTGCCAATCTCTACCTTGCCATCATGTATTAACTCTGCCATTGCATTGTCAACAACACCACCTGAAAGGGAAATATGTGATCATAACTCTGCTAGTACAGTAGGGTCGGGATATATAGCGACTTTATATAACGAGTTTTTTATATCGCGGTTACCAAAATTATCGTCATTTTCCTATATACTGCATAGCTATAATTTTTTTATTTCGCGAGGAAAATTGGTCAGAAAACATTTCAAATTTATCACTACTACCAAAATTATAGAAATTTTCCAATATATAGAGATAAATTTATTTACAGTAGACTCACAACTTACGTGGGGTTATGTTCTTGGGATCTCACATAAAGCCAAAACCGTTTAAAGTCAGAAACACTCCTGAAAATCCCCTAAATAGCCCCCAAATGTGAGTTTATTTATTTTTTCTCTTGTGCAAAATATATGATGTCTATATTCAAATTATTCTCTGTCTTGCAAGGATTCCAGCAATGCAATTTATATTCTGCTAACTCTAGTCTGTGACATTTTATAAGATAAAAACTTTAAGCCTAAAACCATTTTCAATCTTGCCAAAAGTAAAGGGGGAGTTGATGTATTATGACAGCTGGCCCAGCCGCCAGACAAGGTTACCTAATGGTATTTATTTATCTGTCATATAGGGGGAGTTTACGTTTTTCTTTTATTAAATGTCAGTGAATTGACTTAAGAGAATATAATTAACATTGCTGGAATTCTTGTAAGATAGTGATTAATTTGAATATAAACATGCTATAGTTCACAATAGACATAATTTTTTTTGGACTATTATATATCGCAATTTAGAATATAGCTAACATCCTTGGACCCTATCTCGTGATATATCCTGACCCTAGTGTATCTGTATCACAGTAAAAGTGTAATTCACATTATAGAAAAGCAAAGCCACAGTTGTTTACCACAGAGCAAGAGATTGAGGCATGGGTAAAGTTTCCAGCTAGCATGCACTGATTGGGTGAGAGCAATGTCACCAAAATGTGAAGAAATCATTAGCCAACACCTCCAATTTATATCTTCCTTACCAGAGCTCACAGACTTTTACCCAAATCTAGGCAATTTTTCTCAGGCCTCATCTACACAACTTTATAGTGACATATGGGCTAAGTAAGCCTCATATATGCATGTATTAGACCCTGTCAAACAGACAGAATACTTATATAAATGTGGGTTATATACATTAGGTTTATATAATTAGTGTACATCATCCACGGTAACTAGCCTATGAGATGTGGAGTGGTCATCAACTGGACATGTGACAGAGTATTTCCACTGAGCGCTCACACCTTGACTGCAGAGTCAAAAATTAAGAAGCCAGCTTCTTGCCAGTCCGACTCCTGTCTCTGATCCACGCAAGACATGTGTTCAAAGAAGCTACTTATACATAAGCTTCGTCCCTTAATAACGCTCACAGCTCATAGCGTTAATTACGGTGATATCCCGGTTATTGTGCAATAGTTTATTTTCTTAATAAATGGACAAAAGACCATAAACATTTATGAATGTTACTTACAGTGCATCTTATACTGACTCAACAGACTTTTTTTATCAGTGATTACAACAGGTAAATGGAAGCTATAACATGCATGTACAGTATTCATGCACACTGCCAATAAAACTTCTGAAATTACACAATAAACCTATATTTTCTTCAGTTCATACAGTACATACCAAGGCTGTACCATCCATCTGTGAGCTCCAGAATACATGTCTGCTTACAGCGACTTTGTGACCTCTCAGTGGCTGGGACAGAGGCATCTTGCTGGTTAGTCTGTAAATGAAGTTCACTTTAATGTTTTAATTTTTATTCAACACCAGACCACAGCAACATAGGATTTATAATACAGTATGACGCTACAGTATACTGTATCAATCAGTGATGTAGTCCAGACCACTGAGTCCAAGACCAAGACCTTTACAAGTTGAGACTAAGTCCATGACTAATTTTGCACATATGAATCACTTAAGATAAGTGCTCCAGTTAGTGTCATGATGCTTCAACTTTTTAGATACCATGGGGAGGGAGGGAGGGAGGGGGGGGGGCACACTCACTCTTCAGATTGGAGAACACTTCTGGATAGCTTTTGTATAAAAAGACATGCTTCCTTATTATTCAGTCAGATAGCAGTACAGGAGGTCCTCATTATCCGAGGCTAATAGGGGTCGGAAAATTACCGCTTAAAGCAGGGTATTTCTGGCCATAAGAAATAATGGGAAGAAGGTTTGATTGGGACCATAAGATACTAAATGACACTCAAAAGGATTATTCTTATAACTATTATCATTTATACTCAGGAATCTGAAGAGCATGTGAGATGTCTATCACAAGGTCACCACTTTTCATCCCACAAAAAAATCTAATTTCACGTCCGGTCCATAGCTGCTACGTTTCCTATTAGGGACGACACCTAATTTAGCACTAGTGTATGAATACAATTTAAATTCAAGACTAAATCAATAACAATGACTTTTCAAGAATGTACACAAAAAACAATAGAAAACCATAGAGGTTAGGCATTGTTGACAGTGGGCAAATGACTGAGAACGAGTGTGCAGCGTGGGTATGGGGGATGAGCGTCGGAATAGTAGGAGATTTGAATCATTATCTGATGAGGCTTCTGAGCTCCAAGGATATTATTCCTCGTAAGTCCTGAGACTTTTTATGTAGAGTCCAGCAATAATTTGGCCTCATAAATGCAAAACCATGGATATCAATGACTTGGAAACGAGGACCCATTGTACACCATGGTGTGCAGAAGCTGCCTGATTGACAGCCTGGCTCAACTGTGTGACATCACCCAAATGGTTTGAGTGTGGAAGGAGCTATTTTTTGTACATAAAATAAGTGCTATTGTATTTTATGACATGCTATACGTGTGTATATCAATTTTATTGTTTATCATTGCAAATTTTGTTAACAATGAGGTTATTGTACTACTGGTGGCAGATACCTGAATAATTAACTTCAGTTGTATTCGGATTGTTTGACTAAATTAAAATTTTTACTGAACAGGACCAAAGGGGACTAAGTTCAGATACCTGGAAGATTCAGATAGTTGGAATTGCAATGAAGATTAAATAAAAACCACTACAATAGATTTACCATTACAGTGGAGACGTTCTGCATACAGTGGCTGGCCTGACTTGAATGGGGGAGGTTGTTGGGTGTTACTGGGTTAGTAATGCAGGATTCAAATTTTACCAGGGGGTGCTGAATATTAATTCTGGATTCCTAGATACTCTGTAGTGCAATGTATAGCCCTTTATATCCAAAATATTGGGGTGCTACAGCAACCTCCTTTCCTGGGTCCATGTAATGGGTGGAGTGAGGGGGAGTACGGTGCAGCACACAGAGAACTGACTAACCTCAGAGTGTGTGCGGGAGATGTGCATCTGCTAACAGTCGGTCAAATAATTTCTAACAACCTCGCGGATTCCTGAATTTCGATCACGAATCTTGAATAATGTGTCACTAATAATTTTTCCTGAAATTGTGAATTCACAAATATGGGGGGGATGCGTGTATATAATTAATTTTTTATTTTATTTATTTTTTACTTTGTTACATGCACACACAATCTTCATACAAAATGTGCCAAAAAAAAAAATAATAATTATCATACGGTCAAAAACATAAAGGAATTAATCATCATGTGTGTAGAAGCATGCACTGAGGATGGGAGGAAGAGAGTAACAGCTGGTGTTTCCTCACCATCTCCTGATAAATGGCAACACAGTATTTTTCTTATAATTATTAGTATTATTACTATTTTTATTTATTTCTCATATTTACTGGCTCAGTACAGTATTTTATTTGAAAGAATAAGTTTTCCCACACGCAAACCTCCCACACACCCCGCCCACAATCCAGTTCAGGCAGTCATCCAGCCGGCACACAGACATGTGGCTGCCACCATGGTGGGTGTGTATGTCGTGATGTAACATCACACATTTAAAGCCCAGTAACCCACCTCCTCATAACACATTTACTCCCCACATATCTCTTTATCATTCTTATTTTATAGCTGTATATTATACTTGATTTATTTCTAAGCCATATTAGAGTACAGTATTGTAATGATTTTTCCAAATTTTTTATATAGTAGAACGTCGATTTAAAGCGACTCAATTTAAGATTATTGATTTAAAGCAAAACCCTCAATTAAGGACAAGGTTTTAATTTAAAGCGAATCTTTCCGATTTTGCGCGAGTCAATCTGGCACATAATATTTAAAATTTTGCGCCTAATGTTTCTCTGGGCACGCTACACTGTCCTCAGGGCAAAGCTGTACTGTACATGTACTCAAAATAATGTACTAAATGATAACTAAAATTTTTGTCTAGTGCAAACTATAGCATGTTTATATTCAAATTAATCACTATCTTATAAGAATTCCAGCAATGTAAATTATATTCTCCCCAGTCACTTCTGTGACATTTTATAAGCAAAAAACTTAAACTAAATCTAAAGGACATAAATAAACAAATAAATATGCCAACTGTCAAATATGTCACTGTCACTTCCCTCCCCTCATCTTCCCAGCCAGGGTTTGGTGTTTTAGGCTTAAAGTTTTTATCATACTGTATATAATGTCACAGACTAAAGTTAGGAGAATATAATTTATATTGCACGAATCCTTGCAAGACAGCGAATAATTTGAACATAAATGTCATACATTTTGCACGAGAAAAATTTTTGCTCTCTGTAATAAAATTCTTAAATTAGAACTAAAATGTGTATGTCTAATGCGAGCTATAGCATGTTTATATTCAAATTAATCGGTATCTTATAAAAATTCCAGCAATGTTAATTATATTCTCCCATGTCAGTTCAGTGACATTTTAAAGATAAAAACTTAAAGTCACTCTTAAGGACTGATAAATAAATAAGCACTAGACCTTGGCATCAACTGTCAAACATATCACCTCACCTCCCACCCTCCCCCATCTTCTCAGATATTAAACAGATCAATTCGCATCCCTTAATTTTAGCCGTGTTGATTTATGAGTGTTTGTTTTTACATAATACTAAAAGAAACAATGTTTTGTTTATTCTAAGAGATGGGTTGAGGTGCATCTGGGTAGACTCTCAGTCTTTTCAGTATTTTGTGTTTCTCTCGAGTACCAAAGTAAATTTTTCCATTGAAACAACACTTCGATTTAGTGCGAATTCGGTTTAAAGCGACCTCTCTTGGAACCTATCTCGTGTGATATCGACGTTCTACTTTACAGGAATTTCATTACAAGTTACAATATATGAGGCAACTGGGCTGGCAATGTAGTTATATTATAGCCAAGGTCTTGGTTATAAACACCTCCACACACATTCACTTCTCACACATACACACCCATGCTTCTCATTTTTCTTATTTTATAGTCTTAAATTATGTTTTATTTATTTCTAAGCCACATCGTTTATATATAGTGAAATAATTGTTAAAAGAAGTCTGTTTTTTCTGAGACATATGTGCCAGGAGTCAGCTGGTATGGCCATCTTGGAGAGAGGGCACAGATGTCCTCCCACAAGGTAATATACCAAAGTTAAACAATATTTTATTATTTATTTTCATGTGTTAGGAAGTAATTTCATGTATTAGGTAGGAAATTGGAGTTGTTCTGTACTATTTATCATTAGTCAGGTAGGTTTTTGTTCGTGTTTGTGAAACAATTTTGTGTTTTTGGGTATGATATTAGAGTATTTTTGTCATTGGGGAACCGGACCCTATTTTTCCCATATGTTCCTTTATTCTTGATACGTAAATTCACCTAACCAGTGGTTTTCTGGAACCTAACCCATTCATATCTTAAGGGACACCTGTATGCAAAATGACGTACACTGGTACAATGTACAACGAGGCGCCAATATATCAGATGACCTGGACAAAACGTTCCAGAAGTAAGGAGAGCTTTGTATGGAAATGTTCGAGCAAAGACTGCTAGGATAATCGTTTCACAGTATCCTTGTCCCATGTGTCACTGCAGATATAGGTTCATGCAATATATCTGTGGAGTGAACATCATGTAATATATCTGTGGAATGAGCATCATGTAATATATCTGTGGAATGAGCATCATGTAATATATCTGTGGAATGAGCATCATGTAATATATCTGTGGAATGAGCATCATGTAATATATCTGTGGAGTGAGCATCATGTAATATATCTGTGGAGTGAGCATCATGTAATATATCTGTGGGGTGAACATTAAGTAATATATCTGTGGAGTGAACATCATGTAATATATCTGTGGAGTGAACATCATGTAATATATCAGTGGGGTGAACATCATGTAATATATCTGTGGGGTGAACATTAAGTAATATATCTGTGGAGTGAACATCATGTAATATATCTGTGGAGTGAACATTATGTAATATATCTGTGGAGTGAACATTATGTAATATATCTGTGGGGTGAACATTATGTAATATATCTGTGGAGTGAACATCATGTAATATATCTGTGGGGTGAACATCATGTAATATATCTGTGGGGTGAACATCATGTAATATATCTGTGGGGTGAACATCATGTAATATATCTGTGGGGTGAACACTTCATGTAAATATGTCTGACTAAAGAATGATTGTTTGTTATTTTTTCAAGAAATGTGCACAAGACATTATCAGGTGAATTAAATCAAAATTATTGGTTCTGGGATTATGATAAAATAATCAATCGTTTTCTCTGGAACCAAAGCATCATCTGGGACGAGCACCACTAACACCTGTATGGGTTTTGAGTATTGTCAACACAACTACTATGGTGC